TTTATACTCCAATACATCATGACAAACACACACAAACATAAAGGAAACAAAAGACTTTATGATAGGCTTATCATATGCTATATCATGATGATTAATCAAAACTCTAATCAATAAACAAACTGTTCATTAAAATTACTATTGGTTTGAATCCTATTCAGATATTTAGTCCAGAGTGCCTGATTTGCTGCATTCATTTTGTGAAGTGTGTTCCTGCTTTTCTTTTCATTCGAGTTGACTCTCTCTCAGCATCCGTGTTGCTGTCTTGTGGCCTATTGACGCTGATGGCTATCATTTGCCTTTTTATTTTTTACGGCACACTTAACGCAAGTTTTACAACCAGGCAACCGTTACTGTTGAGCCCTGCTGAGCAATACACAGAAACGAGAATTAAATCTGAACTGGGGAATTTCTGCTTGGTTTTACCTGAGAAAACTGAGACGTGGAAGCAGGGAGGGGGTTGGATACCATGGGGCCGAATATATCCAGGTCATTGTTCTGGCTTGTGCTTGTGCAACCATTGTTATGAGTTGATCCAATTGCTGGTGCGTCTGTAACAGAAAGGTGGAAAAACTGCCGTTATAGGTAGAATACAAGCATAACTGCACTGATGACTCCGCAGCGATACTTAACATGTATTAATTAAAATGGTATGAACACTCATAAACAAAATCCTAACACCATATGTAACTGCTGTGAAAACTGTTTTAAAATCAACAGAACTTGTGTTTGCCTATGTGAGAATGCGTTTTCTTTGTATATATTTAACTGCAGTACCCTCCCACAGCTGCAAAATGGCCCACATAGTGAGAACAACAGTCGGTACAATAAAAAATTAATCAGCTTACCCTATTTAACTCATTGGCCACAAAACAAAAATAACAGTAAACATGCCGTCCAAATAACACAATCCCCCTCCACACAAATAAATAATCTATTTTAAAATGTAAATGAAACCACCATAATGAAGTGATAACGAACATTATTCCTAAGAAATAAAACAATCCCCCATGTCACAGCGACTGTGATATCTCATTGAAAAGATAGATGGACAACAACACAAATGAATAGACCAAAAGGAGAACATTCAAACAACTAATTGTCTACATCCTCAAAGCTGCCAATAATACAATGCAGGGCCTACTGTGAGTGATGCAGCAATGAAGCCAAAGGAAAAGTTGCTCTTGAAAACCAAAATTACTTCTCTACCCATCGTCTACAGTAACAACAGCCTGGGATTGTCTGTGTGCTGTTCTATAAGAATGTGTGATCAGGTGTTGCCTCCTTTTATAAAGTGCCCCATGTTCTTCCTCAAACTTATTCAAAGCATATCATTTTACTTTTTGTCTTATTTTTTCTGTAATATTAAGCACCGATGCACCAAAAATGTCAAAATTCAGACACGCAACAGGTTTTACAACGAAACAAGAAGCTACAAGTCTTTCGTGTTTGTAACTGAGGTAGCAGCTGTTGCACTTCCTCTTGTTAGCTTTTGAAAAAAAAAAAAAAAAACAAGCTTGCAGTGGTTTTCATGTAATGTAGCAGGAAGAATGTTATAGTCAGAATCAACAGGAACACAAAAAGACTTCACTGCAGCTCTGATACAGACAGCATAGTGAAGCTGCAAGTAACATAAATGAGCAGTCACCTCGACACCTACGGTGAACATGTGCTACATAACAACTAATAGGAATCATCAACAAGCCCTTTTAAAGATGATGCTTTCCCTCTAATCTGCTGTTTGATCAATACATGTGGAGCCATTAGTTTGCAGTGACGTGACTCAGCTAAAGCTGCAGATAATCGCATCTAAATGCAGAGGCACCACGATATGTAAAGTAAGTGCAGTTATTCCCCACTGCAAGGGCGCAGTAAACAATCTCAGGTAACACTACAGCCTCAACATGCTACCCAGAGAAAGGTGTAAAGTCAAGTTACGCCCATCTTACATAAACAGCACAATTCCAATATGCAGTGATTGCAAAATGCCAAACAAATATGCATCAGTGTGAGCGTAAGTAATCAAGAATTACATGGCGCTCCAACTTCATGACAATTTTATCACAAGCTCAACAAGTTTACAACCATCCACTGTTTCATTATTTCCAAAACTGGCCATAAACAGAGAACAACTATAGCCCAAAGCATTATTTAGCTTTTTTCAATAAACAATATCTCAGTCAGTAGATTTCATACTCACCAAGGCCTAGTAGGTTCACAGAGGGTTCTGAAGTCTTAGCAGGGCTGATTTTGGGAACTGGCCTGGACTCTTCACTCTTTAAAAAAAAAAAAAAAAGTATAGATATTGATATAAAAAGAATAAAAGATTCAGCATGAGTCACTGGTGAGGATATTAATATAAGTATTAATGTATGTGAGATGGAATTACCTTGGTGTAAGATGACACCTTGCTCCCTCTGTCCGGCTCCCTCTCTTTCTTACTATCTTTTGGCTGAAAAAAAGAAAACAGAAGACACTCACAGTGGGTACAAAAATGATGAACCGCTACAATCCACGTGGTATTAAATGGTAATGTTTGGGTACATACACTGCTCCCATTGGTCACATTCTTGCTGTAGTATTTCTTCTTCTCATATTTATCCCTGATGAAGAATTCCACTGCTCTGGGGTCAGAGTTAAGGAAAATAAACAGACAACGAAAAGGCAAATGTACATTCTTATACAGTCTGCCACTTTTAAGTCTGTGTGTCTGCTGACAGTGAAGGATACTGGTCTGTTTGAGGTCTTCTGAAGCTGTCTGGAAGGTTGGCCTCATAAAGCTGCCTGGCCTTGGTGTTACCCATGTCCTGTATACTCTAAAAGAAAGGAACACCAAAGATGTATTCAGACCACTCAAACTGCTCATATGAAATCTTTACAGGGGCACTTCACTGATTTCACACATGATGATTAGTTTGCTCATCGTCAATGCAACCCAGCCGATGAAAACACTAATATAATGTGTAATATGTGTTTTCATGTATTAGAAAGTAACCCAGATGTAGCAGCAGGGATTTATTGACTTAACTTTCAATAGAGAGGCTGCTTTATAAACTAATAGACTTTGTGAGAATCGGGTGATCATTACCAAGGAACTCAAGATGATTTGATTGATTCATCATATTAGAGCCAAAAATACTGCACAATGAGAGCGCCTCAGTCATCAATTTATGTTTTACTTACCTACAATAACAGACCTTGACTGATATGAAAAACTCATATTTCTTTAACTTTTTGGCACTTATGCATTAAAATGTACCAAGTTAGACATTTTAGAGCTTTAGTAAAAATATTTCCTAGTAGTTTATTATGCCTTAACGTCAACAGTAAACTGCAGGCTAAAAATTGGTTATTATGGTACCTTCTCGATGACTTAAATGTGGCGAACTCTGAAGCTGCGTAATAGGAAGTAAAGCTTGAACCACGGTAGGGACTAAAAGCTGCTGCTGCACAGAATATTACCATTCGGTTTTTGTCCACAGAGCTTATGAAGATGCAATGCTAAATTATGGAGATTGCTAATTTAAAATGGAAAATCTGCACCACTATCACATCTCTGAGGTATTCAATGGAAAGTTAGCTGTGGACAGATATGCACAAGCAAAGATTTCACAGTAGTCTCTCGCTGTGGACATTAAAATATGAAAAGGTGAATTCAGGAAATGCATGACAAAGTAAACAGCACCTGGATTTGTTCTGAGGTCCATTGGTCCAGGTTGACTGACTTCACTCTGGATATGTGTACTCCCAGGTTCCTGTGGATGCCAGCACATCGGATGCAGATAAATACTCCCAGATTCCAGGACGCCCATCTTGGACCTGTTGATGACAGAAAAAACAGACTGGTATTTGACAATGTCGTTCACCAAAATCACTAAAGCGCAACTTAAGTTATGTAGAGCACCCCTATGAAAATTAAAATACGCACTACTGTCACATTTTTGAGGTGTTAAAATGTATAGCTCGTTGTTAACAAAGAAAAAATATGCAAAAACTAAAGAGTACACAGATTCACAGTAGTCTCTTAACAAGTTAATAATTTAGGATTATGAAAAGCAGGCCACTAAAATATATAGTGACATATTTAGTAAAACATACCTAAAGAGAAACCAACATTCTTGAGATTCTTGTGACTTAAAGTTCCAAAAGCAAGCTTTGAATTCTCCACCAATGACCCAACATGAAAATAGAGCTCACGTTTCTTCCAAACACAGTTTCTTAAACGCTTATAGAGGCCGATAAGTGAGCAGAAGGGGGTGGCGAGGGAGCAGCAGTGCGGGCAGCTTATGTAGATTTACAGAAGTTAGCTCCCTGGTTAGCCACTTAGTTTAGCTTAAGGGGACGAGGTGTCAGCTGACTAGCCCGAGCCACAATAGCGAGTTAGCTTAGCAAAGCTAACCAGCGCAGACGTCAAAGTGTCAGTTAGTGGATTCCGAGTTAAACTGTTAACTTTGTGTGGTGGAAAATAATTTTTAAAAAATCCAGGGTGTGGACGCCGTACCTTTCGCCTCGCAGTCGGCGCAGTACTTGTTGTCTTCCTCCCTCAGCATTTTGGACAGGATGGCCTGGTGCTGCTCGTTCAGTTTCTGGGCCTTCTCTCTCTCCGAGCGGGTCGTCATGTTGGTGGGTTTTCTTCGGACTTTATTGATCAAAAGCGCGGCGTTTTACTCAGTCGTGAATCGAAAGAAGTTTCTGATAAAATACCATAATCAGTGGTCTGAACGCCTCCGAGTGCGATACGAAAACACCCGGAACCGGAATCCCCTCTCCGCCCACAGCGCTCGAGCTGACGCGGCGGCGGCTCCTGATTGGACCGCAGCGATGACGTTTCTGAAGAGTCAAGTTTTTTCAATTTCATAAAAAATTCATCAAAGTTTATTCACCGTCACCCATTGATAGCTTCGGCTGGGAGGATGGCTTCTGGTTGGCTGCCAACGCCAACAGCAAAGATAACCGACGATTTAAAAGAAAAAAAAATCTGCTTCCATTGAACAACAACAACGTAGAAACGTCACATATGAAGTTTATTGAATATGAACAACAAAACATATAAAAACAAACATGAATAAAATCTACATATATACACAGTACATTATTGGAGTAACTGAAGGTTTAAGAAAGTTCATTTTAAGAGATCAGAAAAACAGCCAATTTTAAGAACACTGATAAAAACAAATCTGGTGAAAAACAAAAATATAAACGCAGCATGTAATATTTTACTCAATTCTGTCTATTCTTTTTAACATAGACAATTAGTATTTTTATGTTCCAACACACAGCATCTCCACAATAGAAGGGGTACATCTATCCAGAGCATCAGGTTTTTGTTTAGACAACAAATGAGGCATTTCTGGACATTTAAGTTTCTGACTACGGCCCTAACTGACATCTGTCAGCATCCAACAGACCAACAGCCGGTTCTCATCTTAGTCCTGTCATCTGTGGTATTTATTAGAATAAAACTGCATTTTTAGGTGGCCTTTCACAGTCACTGGTCATGCTATCTGATCATTGTCCTTATAAAGACACACCCAAAGAGGGTGTGGATTAACTCACTAGTCAAGAATTTGTCACCAGCTGAACAGCTCAAAAACCTTTTGTCCACAAGTAGTTATACTGAACCCTTCTCTAATTAGAACAACAAAAACAAGATTTTTGCCTCAGAGAAGAATTTTAAAAACAGACCATTTGTATGCTGCATTTATGTTTTTGTTCAGTCTATAAAATTTCCAATCCATGAAGTATTAAACCAAGTTCCACTGCAACATACAGTAAAAATTTCAATGTAAAAAATATATCTGAATTAAATCTTGATATGCTTAGAACTGAAATTTGGGTTTTCTTGGACTTCATAAAATGCACGTAGTTATTCTGTATGTACAAACACATCTAGACCTAAAAAGTACTCAAGGCATAAATGAACGACTGAAAAAATCTGCAGTTTGCAACTGTGATACACAAATAGATACAGTGAATCGCTAGTGGTGTTGCTTTCCCTGCACAGTTTGCCTTCATATCAGCTTGACTGCACTGCACAAGCAGACTTGAATTAGAACCACTCATAGATAGGTGCTTAAGAGGCCTTAGAAAAAGGTTTCCAGGCGGATCTTGAAGTTATTCTCCTGGTGCCTCACTGCAATCCCATAGCGGAGCAGCATTTCTACGTACGGCGGCCAGAATGTGTCGTCTATTGTCACGTAGGGGTCATGTGGTGTGTTCAGGACCTTGTTCATGAGCACCTGCAGGCATACAGAAGACAGGGGGAGATACTGAAGTCAAAAACATCAGGAAGTTAGACAGCTTTACAGGTTTTGAGTTGTATTTTGCATTAGTTTAGTAATGCACACTGGACTGAGACACCAAAGATGAAGATTAGGACTATTAAGATTAATTGACAAGTGATGCCCAAAGCATAGATATAAATCACTCGTTCATGTGTATTTGCATCGATTCAATTTCAATTCAATTCAATTTTTTTTAAAGTTATTTTTTTGGCCTTTGTGCCTTTATTGGATAGTGTTAGTGAGAGAGAGACAGAAAAGTCGGGGAGAAGAATGGGGGGAGGACATGTGGGAAAGGGTCATGAGCGGGATTCGAACTCATGACCTCCACATTGGGACTGTAGCCCTGCACATGGGATGCCAGCTCAACCAGGTGAGCTATAGCAGCGTCCAAATTCAATTCAATTTTACTTGTATAGCGCAGTTTACAACACATTATCACACAGTGCTTAACAAAGTAAGGTATAGACCTTACAAATTTACAGAGAAATCAACAATCCAAAGTTGCCTTTTGCCACCAGGATACCGTAAAATCTGTAGTTTGGACTGTTCTCTGTTCTCTCGGTTCTCTGTTTAAATTTGTAAGGTCTACCTTACATATACCTTACTATGTTAAGCACGATGTGATGACATACGTTGTAAACTACGCTATACAAATAAAATTGAATTGAAGTGAGAATAATAACTTTTCAAGCTGTCACTTGACTGGAGCTCAAAGCAGTCACTCTCATCCAGACAGGAAGAATTCATACAACTGAAATTTAATTTGGTTGTTGTTGATGAACAAACCTGTCAAAATATCTTTCCAGAATCCCTCTAAAAGTTACTGACAGATAGCCAGCACTTAGTAGGATCAACAGAGCTAAACATTAAACGGTTTAATTTAAATGTGATACTGGAGTTGATTATGCAGTGTGTGAAAACCCACCTCCAGTATTTCATTGAGCAAAACCAGGTCCTTGTTTATCTCAAGTGCATTGTTCTGAAAATGAAAACAAAAGACTGTAAGAAACACTGGAGCTGTAACAACACAGATTTTGCATGTGAAGTAGGTCACCGAACCCTTTTCTTCTTGCTTGTACTGGATTCATTCTGAGGAGGAGGAACGTGCTTCTCCAGGATCTCACCCAGCGACTCCATCAGCCTTTCCTGATAGACCTTCATCTTCTGGATTTTTGCTTTTGTGTCCTGCAGCATACTGTGAGACACACACACATAAAAATGCTGTTTTTACAAGATTTTATAGTTAAATTTGTATATAGTTACATTAGTTAATGTTTTAATAGTATATTTGTCCTACTATTACATATCTGTTAATCTTCATGTTTTGCTGACTTCTGTTGGGAATATACTGCAAAACTTGCACTCTTTTCATTCACACTCACCTATGCTCTGATAAGTTTTCCTTTTCCATTTGAATCCGGTTAACATGCTCACTGGTAGCTATCAGCATGTCTTTCTTCTCCTCAAGCCACTTGTGTTCCCTATAAAATATACATGACGCTTTCAGAATAAAACAGAAAGGAAAAAAATCTCTGAAAGAGAATTTAAAAAAAGTGTTTATATGCTCTGAGGAAGGACATTAACTTATTGAACATTTGCTATGTTACTAAATGGTGACATACAGTTCTTTAGTCTCTCTCAGTTTGTCTCTCTTGGCTTCATAACAAGAAACAACCATCTCAAGCTCAGAACACAGTTTCAGCATCTGTGGAAAACAAAGTGAGGAAATGGATTGCATGAAAGAAGTAATGCATTCAAATTGAAATTTTAGCAGGTAATATATCTCAGTGTGGCATTTTACACATACTTCCTCTTTTCCAGCGTGAAGTAAAATTTCAGAATTTTGTGCGATCACTGGATGGAGCAAAAATAAAAAAATAAAAACACACATTAAAGACAGAAAATTTAATATCAAATATTTAAATTTAAAAGTCCGGAATCACAATTTAATATAGAATTCTCCATTCAATAACAGTGTCTGATGCATAAAACTGTAGCAGTGATTCACAATATTAATATTCCACTTGTAAATACTTATATTACATTATATTATATCCCACTTATATTACCTCCACCTCCGGATGAATGGAGGACTTACATTTGGGCTCCACCGTCAGCCACTGCTTCAGTTCAGCTTCTGTTGCCATCAGTCTGTTTACTGACTGTTGGAGAGGAAAAGCCACAATTCACAGAAAATGCATCACAATACACCACATTTGTAAAAGATGATTAAGTTAAGTTACTTCTATAAAATAAATAAATGTCACATAATACAAATAAAAAACAAAATGGCTAATGGTATTTTGCAAAATGTGAAGCAACATTTTTTTGTTAAAAATCCTAATTTTACCAAAGCTATTTTTATATATTCATTTCAACACTTAATTATAAATGTATCTCAGTTGTTTATTAAATGGATTGTAAAGCTCCCAAAAAGACACCAATTTAAAACTGCAAGGGACACACAAAAGAAAAGAAACTCACACTTTTCTTTCTAGTTTGCAGTTAATAAAAACTGGTAACTAAAAACCTTTATTGCATGCCACAAAAACAAGTCTTGCAAAGATTTGGCGGTACCTCAACTGGAGTTGTACCAACAAGTACGTAGGAGGTTGCAGATATTTGTGCTTTTTTTTTTTTGGAAGATAGTTTATTTGTGTTGACGACAAATTCAGATGAATTTTGACAAGTAGGGATGAGTCACACTGAAGCAGTGCGGCATGTACACCAATATTCAGCGGACTGCTGAAGCTTATAGGGAATCCAAATGTTTTGGATTGTTGGGTGTTTCTGTCTCTGCCTTTGTGAAGCGCTATGAGATGACTGTTGTTGTAAATATGCGCTATACAAATAAAATTGAATTGAATTGAATTGAATTATTTGGTTTGTGTGGTATGAAACTCATAAGGGTGGATTTGAGTCCTTAAAATTCTATACTATATTGCCAAAAGTATTCACTCACCCATCCAAATAATCGAAATCATGTGTTCCAATCACTTCCATGGCCATATTGTGTATAAAATCAAACACCAAGGCATGCAGACTGTTTCTACACACATTTATGAAAGAATGAGTTGCTCTCAGGAGCTCAGTGAATTCCAGCATGGTACTGTGATAGGATGCCACCTGTGCAACAAGTCCAGTCGTGAAATTTCCTTGCTCCTAAATATTCCACAGTCAACTGTCAGTGGTATTATAACAAATTGGAAGCAATTGGGAATGACAGCAACTCAGCCACGAAGTGGTAGGCCACGTAAACTGACAGAGCGGGGTTGGCGGATGCTGAGGCACATAGGGAGTAGAGGTCGCCACCTTTCTGCAGAGTCAATCGCTGCAGACCTCCAAACTTCATGTGGCCTTCCGATTAGCTCAAGAACAGTGTGTAGAGAGCTTCATGGAATGGGTTTCCATGCTAGAGCAGCTGCATCCAAGCCATTAATCACCAAGTGCAATACAAAACGTCGGATGCAGTGCTGGAAAGCATGCTGCCACTGGACTCTAGAGCTGTGGAGATGTGTTCTCTGGAGTGATGAATCGTGCTTCTCCATCTGGCAATCTGATGGACAAGTCTAGGTTTGGCGGCTGCCAGGAGAACGATACTTGTCCGACTGCATTGTGCCAAGTGTAAAGTTTGGTGGAAAGGGGATTATGGTGTGGGGCTGTTTATCAGGAGCAGGGCTTGGCCCCTTAGTCCCAGTGAAAGGAACTCTGAATGCTTCAGCATACCAAGAGATTTTGGACAATTCCATGCTCCCAACTTCGTGGGAACAGTTTGGAGTTAGCCCCTTCCTCTTCCAGCATGACTGTGTACCAGTGCACAAACAAGGTCCATAAAGACATGGATGAGAGAGTTTGGTGTGGGAGAACTTGACTGGCCTGCACAGAGTCCTGACCTCAACCTGATAGAACACCTTTGGGATGAATTAGAGCGGAAACTGAGAGCCAGGCCTTCTCGTCCAACATCAGTGTGTGACCTCACAAATGCGCTTCTGGAAGAAAGGTCAAAAATTCCCATAAACACACTCCTAAACCTTGTGGACAGCCTTCCAAGGAGAGTTGAGGCTGTTATAGCTGCAAAGGGTAAACCAACGTCATATTAAACCCTATGGATTAAAAATGGGATGTCACTTCAGTTCATATGCGAGTCAAGGCAGGTGAGCCAATACTTTTGGCAATATAGTGTATGTTATTCAAACTCGCCATTTAGGTTACGCTTAGCTGCTCCTGTTAGGGACGCCTCTTTAACAGCTCTCCCCCATTTTGTTTTTTAATGGTGCCTCCCTTTAATGCTTAGCATGCTTAAAGTTAGTGGTGCTAAAAATATCTAGAATTGATGCACACAGCTGTAGGTCGTTTTGCTTGTCCCGATAAAGACTTTTGAGGCAATGTGCACATAATAATGGGTTGTGTGAGCTTTAACGTTGGTGACGGACATCTTTGGAACCAACAGGCATTAATTTGACCATTTCATCAAATCATTTTACATCTCATGTAACTACAGTATCTCAATATGTGTAAATAGAAAACTTAAATATTTTTGAGACGTTAAAGTTAGTTTGTCAGTAAACCTAGAAGGTGAATAAATTAACGTTCTAGTACAATATTCTCACCTGATCTTGTGGAGTCTCACAGGAATCTGGTTCACACAGTATAATCTCATTCTGAAGCTGCAACAGAGAGAAACAGAGCCTGCGGTTTGTACCATTTCAGCACATCCAGCAATTAGTTAAAGGTCCCACATTGCCCCTTTCCAGCAAATAAATTAAAGCCTCACATTTAACCACAATGCGTCTTTAAAACACTGCAAAGATGGTTAACCATGACAATGCCGAGCAAAACAGCTGACAGCCCCCAAGTCAGCACTGATGTGATTGAGTGTGTGAGACCAGGACTTTCCAATGATTCCAACTTTCTCTCTAAGCAGTTATTTTATATTGAATATTGTTGGGACTTTGGCTGTATTCAAATACACAATATGTGAGCAGAGAGAGCAAGAGAGAAGCAAACAGACGTAAAGACTGGCTGTGTTTTAGTTGCAGTGAAGCACAACAGGCAACATTGAAACACAGTATCCCTGACAGTCCTTGTTTATTGGTTTCAAAATTGATCCTAATCTCAGTGTCCTTCAGCGTTACAATTTCCACAGAGCTCTGACCAGTGACTATACAATTCAAGCTTATGGTAATGTTAACCACATTAGCTGTACATTACACTAACACTAAAGATTTTCCAATTGTTGCGGTGACATTGCCATTAATAATAAAGGTAATCCCCCGAGTCTTCAGTTCCTCAGATGCTGGGAGTGAATAAAAATACTTTCATTTACTCAAGCTTTGCTTGTGGCTGATTTATTTTACAGTTAGCAGAAGTAGCTCTTGAAAGTAAACAAACCTGGTGGACAGGTAGCTGCTGACTGGGAATGACTCATCTTGCAAGCAGCAGGCGGTGAGCGGGCAGGATTATGCAAAGTTTGAGCTAGATGACAACTGGTTACTCAGCCACAACATGGAGAGAGGATTGATCAGGATCTAATGGTAAGCCCGTTAGACAGGCGAGCTGTCATTCACACACACAGTGTCACAGTTTATAATCTGCAGTTAAATCATTTGTTGTATAATAGCCGTCCTGCATCACAGCTGATACTTTTAGTTTACTGTTGGTAAAGTAGTAGTTACATTATCAAAACATATGGACAGAGTTTTCAGTGATTAGGGAAATTCTAGATAAACTATTTTAATAAGTTCCGATTCAGATTCTGATTCAGACTACTTTATTGTCATTCATACAAATGACATCAAGGATTTGCAGCAGAACGAATGATGATGCAGGGTCAGTGGTAAAAATACACACAGTTAAAATACCTGATATAAATTAAATAAAGTTATAAATACTGTTGCGTTACTGCACTAAGTGAAAATAAATAACAAAATAAGAAAGGGGTTATTGCACATGACCCAAAAGTAATTGCAATAATTAAGTAATTAAGTTTTCTATTAGCTATTAATTAAGTTTGCGATTAGTTAAGATCTTGTCTTTTGTTTATGATTTCATTATTATGTATTATACATCTCTTGATTCCCAATCTCAGGTGAAGGACAGATATCACATAAATGCTGTGGCTCTCTCTGTCACTGTGGTGGGTATGTTCTATGTATGTGGGAATGTTTCATATCTGATGTCGCAGAAGGGTTTAGCTGTGGGGGGGCTTGAGCAGTTTTTACTCTACACTTCCAAGTTTATAACAGCTCCAAAATACAATAAAATAGATGTTCACCATATGAGACCTTTAAAGCCTATATCATGAGGTTAAAAACATGTGTTTACCTTTTCCAGCTGAGCAAACTGATCCTCACACAGGTCCAGCAGCTCAGACTGAGCAGCCTCTGACAGCTGGCTGCCTGGTCTCACCTCAGCCTGAACATGGAAAACAGACAGATTTGAATTTGGGTACATTTAAATGCAAAGTGCTGCACACAAATAAAGCTGAGACAGTGCAGAGGCCTGTACTACAAAGCAGGATTCAGGGTTATCACGGTAACTTCAGGTTAAACATTGGGTATTTGGTACTACAACGGGGGTTTACTTCCAATCAGTTCTTGGAAAATATCATCAGCATTAGAGGATTTAGCAGAGCTCGGTGTGCAGATATAAAGAGGGAGTAAGAGTAAGTCAAATGTTTTAGAGGTACAAGCAATTTCAAAGCCATTTCATTAAAGTACTATAGACTTGCACTTTATAAGATTTGCAATAAGCTTACTTATTAATTTGACTGATGTTTTTACATTTTTTCTTTACTTGCACCCAAAAACAAACAAACAAACAAACAAACAAAAACATGACATGTAGCGTGACTAGTAGAAACATACAAGTACTATATATTACTGAAATAAAACAAGTCAGTTAAAACATGGCCAGAATAGTAATTATAAATACTATCACACATGATAATGACATATTGCACATAAAAATGATATGAAAAAATAAAATATTATACATATTGATATTGTTCTCCATGAAATAAAAGACATATAATCAAAATATTGCACATAAAAATGACATGGTACACATAATGCTGACACTGAGATTGCACAAACTATTGAGAAAAGTAATATTGTAAATGATAATGATATTACTGTATAGATCTAAAAGTTTGAGGTTTCCCACAGTTTTGCAGCTTTCTTCCCTGACAGCTGTTGTTTTTATTTAAAAAAAAACTTTCTTTCAGATCATTTAATAACACCAGATTTGCTGCTAAAAGGATAAAACTGTCTTAGGCTACACACTAGAAGAGTGCATCTAAGTAACACATTAATTTGATAGAATATACAGCTATAGTCAGATCTACTTGTGCTCTGATAATTTCAGATAAGATAAGAAAAGATCAGCTTTATTGATCTCTCACCAGGGAAATTCACATGTTACAGCAGCTGGATACAGATAAGCCATGAAAGAAGCAGGGCAAAAAACTCAAAAGTACAAAGAGGCTAAAAAATACTGATATAATATTAAAAGTCTAATAGAGACACTAGACCAGGCACGATGAATCTACACATGGATATGTAAATATATGACATAGTGAATTTTATATATGGATAAGTGCAGCTATGACATGGTGACAAGGTGAGTTTACAGATGGATATGTACACATACGAATTGATAAGCCTGTTATCAGTCTGCAGTTTTTTCCAGTTTTCCATCCTGCTTTGGCTGCGGACCTAATCTTCGTATTTCTCCGATATTATAGTTTGGCCATCATTTGTAAAAGATGCCACTATGGTGCCAGTCTCCCTGTCCATGTCTGTGATCGGTCACCTGTAGCCAGCTCCGCCTCTTTCATGTGAACGCGCTGACATCCACGTTCACGAACACTAGTTGACTTAACGAGCTGGTAACCAGCTTCAGGAGGGAACGCATATCGAGACTGTTTTTTGGTTAAGAGAAACCAGACAACTGAAAGATACTCTGGGTAAGCTAAATATACTTCGTAGTGCTTACTAGCTATCAGCTAGTTAAGTGAAAAGTCGAACAGACTCGAGCGAACGTTAGCAGAACCCAAATTCTGTGTAATACATGAAAAAAACAAGGTGATAAGTTCTTATGCACGCGTAGAACCCCTTAACATATATTCAGACTGCGTGCAAACTTACCATATTTATATAATCCACAGGTTTTTCTGCACTTCACGGACCACAACAAAAGATCGCCGCTGCTTTTTCAAAATACCGCCAACGGTTGATGACGTATGAGCTGCGACAGAGGAGTGTTGGTGAGCGCTGATGTTGCGCATAACTGCGCAGGTGCGATGAATGGTGTTCCTAAATGAGCTTTACACAGAAGGGTTTTGAAATCTGTGAGCTGTAGTCATGTAGAACTGAAACTCTGTAAAAATCCCCTAGCAGTGAGTGAGGGTTAATTTCTTTTCTCTTTTCAATGGTCAAAATATGATTTATATATACAGATAAACGAACTACATAGATAAACTAAGCAAAACTACTGTTTTGAAGCACCTGTGGTTTACTTAAGGATGGAAAACTCCAACTTCCAGGAAACTATTGTCTTTTTCACTCCACTATATTTATCCCAACTACGTTTTTTTCCCACAGCGACAGACACTAATTACTTACGATGCAGACTTTTACACTCAGCAGCATTTGGTCAGCTTTCAAAATACAATATTAATCATAAATTAAAATGTTAAATGTTGGTGACTATCCAGCTGAACTTAAAATCTCCCGATTCTCATCTCGGAACATTAAAATGTTGCCTGCATGTCGATGCATTAGCGGAAATCATATAATATAATATTATAACACAATGCTTATATCCTGCTGAACCCTAAGCAGTTCCAGGACTTTTTAAAAAAAAATAAATAAATAAAATTTTTCTTGCTGTGGGCTTATTTTTCCTTATAGAAATGGCCCGACCATGGGTAGAAGTAGAGAAAAGTCAAAAAAATGTCTTCTGTGTGCAGTATGACAAAGTTATAATGCTCATTGGGGAAAAACAATGTTGAATTTCTATAAATATTTATTCTACACAAATTGAAAAAACTGCAATCAACAAGTACAACAATTTTCTAAGTGGTCATGGGTGATCTAAAAATGGTGGCTTTCTGTTCTACAGATATTTAGCTCTTTACAATTTCAATTTGTTTCCATACTTGTCTCTTATCTGCTTTGTGTTAACACTGCCAGCAGTTCAGCTGAAAAGTCCATGAATTCTTGTCATGTGACTTTTGATGAGTCTCTTAAGATGTCACAATTCTGCTGAGGAGTGCAGGATTTTAGATTTTTTTACAGACTCTGGATAGAGTACAAGGGTGGTGTAGAGAGTAGAGTACAGTAGTAGAGTACATCTGTAGAATTAAGGAAGTTTGAAGAATTTATCACAGTTTTAAGCTTAGATTTGACAGTTTTTCTCACAAAACATGTGACATAATTAATTCATGGACCGTCTGAAAGTTAAAAATCTTATGATTCTGTCTGAATTTACAGTTTCTGGCTTTGATAACTGGTGTACTTTCAGTGATTTAAAAGAAAGAAAAACAAAGATAGCAGTCCTTTCAAGTCCACTGGCAGGTTTGGGGGTTCGAAAGGGTGAAGGGGACATTTTCCGTTTTTTATTTTCTTACTTTAGGTACATATCTGCGCTTTTACACATAACTTACGTGTTGTACTTCTACTTCGTCGTCAGTATTTGGTGAGGTGAGGCTGCAGCAAGTGTCATTTTGGGTTCAAATGTGCTGGACAGTAAATCAATTTTGTGCAAAAGAATAAAAATTGACAGAGAAGAACTATTATTATCTTTAACATGGTGTTTTTGGGTTGTCAGAAAAGACATTTTAACTGAGAGAAAGGAAAAAGACTGCAATCAGTACCCCTTGTAAAGTGATGATGTTCAATTGATTCCTTGTGTATCAAGGATTTAGTAGTTTTTCAAATTAAAAGAGAATTCAGTATTTTCTTTAAAGGGAACAAATCTGTCAGAATTTGGAGTGAAAATCAGGAGAACACCTGAAGCTGTAATGAGAGCCTTTACTGTTATACTGCTTTTGACTTTTATTTTGTGCTGTTCACTTATAACATTACAATCAAATGTTTAATTATACATCATCTTGCAACACACAATGTAAAAAAAACATTTTAAAAAGGCATTTTGGTGCCAAAAAATGCTGGAAAATGCCACCTCTTTAAAATACAGTAATTTTCCCTTAAAAAAATTGTAGCCTTATGTTTACAATTTTCATGTGTAATTTTTTGGCTTTTAAAATTTTAATGACAGATATTTACATGTATAAAAACAATGGACATAGATTTGCATCAGTCATGTAAATTCATCTGTTTTTGTAATTTTATTGGTATTTTTAAATGTTTCAAAAATACAGAAAAAAATCTCTGAATAAAAAAGGTAAAATTCAATAAAAATTAAAAATTTTCCCAAACATACTTTGTCACATACAGATGATACTTTGTCTAAATACTAACCTTTTTTTTTTTTTTTTAACAAGTTTACGCTGTAAATCTAGAATAATTTGCCAAATAAATTTGATTATGATCAGGCAAAGAGAGCAGGTTGAAATACACAGATATTAATATGACAATTTGGTGTCACTGTGCAGTATTCGCTTTAGTTAAATATTTAATTGCACACACACACACCCACACACACACCCACACGCGCGCACACACACACACACGCACACACACTCCATGGCTGGTTACGTGCTTACTGTACTGCAAGTCACCGTCCTTTAAACACCAGCAGGTGTCTCTGTTTGTCTCTCTGCTCTGAAGCCAAGCGGCTGACTGCAGTTTGCAGCTTGTCATCATCTGCACTTCTTCTTCTTCTTGAACATTAACAGTTTTTTTTCTAACCAGTATGTTTCGTTCTGACACATCATTTAAACGAAGAGTCCATCAGATTTAGATGTGTGTCCGTTTGACTACTTTATTATTATTATTAGACACTGATTACTTCTATTTATTCCACATCTTTTGTCGGGAGTCAAACTCACGACTGCTGCGTCGGGGAACTGCAGCCCCTGTTTATGGGTAGCCCCCTCAACCAGGTGAGCTATAGGGGCGTCCACAATAGTCTTTTCTAACATCTTTTTTTGTTTTTTGGTTATCCTACTGTCTTGCAGTGGTTTTATCACCCCAAATGATCTGTAGCAGCCTGCTTCTGAAATCCACACTGCTGGCAATCTCTTAAAAACAAACAAAAAACAATCTCTTTCATAATTTAAATAGTGCAAAATGTACAAAATAAAACCATGATGCAACCCTTTCTCCTCTCTGTCTCCCTCCTCTCTCACACTCTCCTGTTTATTTATAATCCACCAGCTCTTAGATTTGCTGTTGTTTGGTTGTATTTCTATTAATGTATCACTGCATTTATTTCAACAAAACTGGATAAACAATTTTGTCCAAATAGTCTGACTGACTCTCTTTGGATGTTTGATTTTAAGAGTGGACATGCAGCAGCAGCAGCAGTGAGAACACATTTTCTATTTTCCATGTTTTCCAGCTACAGCCCTAAAAATCACATAGCCTTGATTATTTGAATGATCAACTAGAATTTGATTAATATGCAAATTTCTGAGCAAACCCATTCCATTTGGGCCTTCAGCGCAGCCTAATTAATCAACAGTTAAAGGAAATTAATACATACATCAATTCTGTCAGGAACATGCTTAGTTCAATCGCCCGTAAAATTGAAGTTTGAAGTATTAACTGGCTCCACAGGAAGGCTATGATTAAAACTCTACATTTCGGTTCTATTTAGATATATAGAGTGATTTAACTGCAGGCAAATATAAAGTCATTTACAGATCTCCTTTTTACACTTATTCAATAACAATAATAATAATAATAATGAACTGAGGGACTATTTGAATCCTTTGCATTATTTTTTATTTTTCTGCGCTTTGTTTTATTTTTAAGAAGACAACATGGAAAACATAATTAATTTTGATGCTCTTCTCGCTGTCACTGGACTATTGCCTCAAACGTGAGTTTGCACTTTGCACCTGACACTGTTTTTCCACAAGTAATAAAAGAGAGAGAGGCAGAGAATAAAAAAGGGGAGGGGAAGAGATGAAAAGAGAGAGGGCTGTACTATTGTTTCAGTAGGGACTCATGCATCAAACTTCAATTTTCCGGACGATTGAAGTAGTGATTTTTTCTATCTTGAAGTGAAATACTGAAATACACTTAAGACCTCCAGATTAATTACCACGAAGTGGTCCCTCAGACTGTAGTATTACTTATCACCGGGCCCGCCTGACAAGCCCTCATAAAATAAGCAAGTGAAATCCATAAACTTAGCCTGCCTTAACACTCTCTCCCTTCATAAATATGCTTGATTCAGGATAGGCTCCAGAACACACACACACACACACACACACACACACACACACACACACACACACACACACACACACACACACACACACACACACACACATATTTACACACATACCACAAGATAAGTTTTAAACTGACATGTTCATATTTGCAGGTCAATTTTCAAAATAATTGAATTGAATTGATTTTTTTTTCCTTCGGACCTTTAAAATGAAGGGGTCCCTTGGATTTACTACTAAGTTTAAATTACCCCAGATTAAAGCCTTATTTTGCATTTTTCATCATGTATAAAAACTAAAAAAAAACAAAAAGGTTTATAATGTAGCTTTAGGAAGACATAAGCACATTTTTTTTTCACAGTATTTGCAAACAATTAGTACTTCTCCTTTAAGACATATTCTGTTATATTATCATTTTGTTTTATTGAGTTGTAATTCATTATCTAATTATATACCAGCATCCAGTTATGGGCGTTGTTGACAAATACATTGATAAACCCACATTTGCTCACAATTATAATCTCTCATAAGCCACACTGCCTATAAAGGCAATATTTTTATAAGACTAATTTGCCTGCAGAGCTTTTACAATAACTTTGGTTGTATTAGGAGCTTATAGGCCTATAAACTTATTCACGTTGACCTGAATGAAAAAAACATATATAAAAGAAATTAAAAAGAAAAAAAAAAGAGCAAACACTATAAAACTAGTCACAAGAAGACAGCTCCACTTATCGTTTCTTTTAACAAAGAGGGTTAAACGGGAGGTTGCCTTTTGAGTTCTTCTTCTTCTGGGCACTCTGTCTTTCTCACATCACCATGTTTTCAGCTTCATTAAACTCCTTAAAGACAAAAGAAATCAAAAGACAGAAGAAGAAAAAAAGGGAGAGAAAAAGAGAGAGATGAGAAGAAAACAAACAAAAGGGCTCCCTAACCAGACTTTGGCATAAATGTCAGTCTAAACTCTTTATGGCTCTCTGCTTAACATTAAAAACACTTTCAACAAAAATCCATTTCTGGTTTAGGGGGAAGAAAAAAAAAAAAAGAAAAAAAAAGGGTTCTTGGACAGAAGTCAAACATATTATTCCAGAGCTTAAAAAGGCGCAGAAAGACAAGCGGCTCACAAAAAAGGGGCAGTTTCATTGTAATTCATTGACTTGTTCAAAACGCCAGGCTGAAGAAAAGGGCCAGACATTAATAGCCGCAGATGCCCTCATGAAGGGAGAGTCTATGTAGGCATTATGGCCTTTGTTCGCACCCAGTTAAACTGTTTAAAGGGAGGGTTAACTCAATCCATCAAATTGTCTGAAATTGTGAGGAAATTTCAAAAACCATATGGCTTCCAAACGTTTGCGTCCTTTCTGTGCGGTGGGACACACTTGTCTCAGTATTGCTGCCTGCGGGGGAGCGGCCCTGCTCCTTTGTGGCTCGTCCCATCAGGGGAACGCTGCTCATTTGTCCCCACTTTTCATGCTTTACGCTCAAAATTACGGCCCAGTCCCGCAGAACAAAAAAAAAGGGGGTCTAATAAAAGAGTCGGGGAAACTGGCCCAAAACTTTGTGTTTTGTGCCATCCTTCGCCTTTTTTTTCCTCTCTCCCCCGGCACCAGATTTGTGTTTCTCACATAAATTTTTGCCACGAAAGGAGAAACACGTCTAAGGGTCAAGAAGCCACGATACGCATTTAGAGGATGTGAAAGGGGACGTGAGATTCCGGGCCACAAAATGTTTAAAGCATCCTAGCAGAGAAAAAAAAATCACACAAAGAGGACAAAATAAGTTCAGCATAATAACTCTAAATAGCCCGCTTTTGATGGGTTTACACGGCCAGATTTGGCAAGGAATCATTTTTCCCTGCCTTCAATAATAAAAGAAAAACAGGCTTTTATACGCACAATAATAACAAAACAAAAAAAACGCGATATTAATTCAAGACATAAAATAAATCTTCAGAAAAGCCATTTTTATTCCCATAGTAGCCTATATACATTACAGTCTGTGCATTGGTTTTTCAAATAATGTCCTGATTTTAGAAAGGCACTTACAGGTGTACAAAACATAACAAATTTATAACTGTAAATCTATTGTATCCAAACAATAAATCTAAAAAGTATAGCCTAGAGCTCGTCAAAATCACTGCAATAAGTAGCTGCTGTTTCTCGCCATCGGTCGAGCATTTTCCGTAACTGTGAGTTTGCCTTTCACCATCATCATCATCATCATCATCATCATCATCATCATCATGCACTGAACATGAACTGAAGCCAACAGCCAAATAATGATGCTGATGATGAAGAGAAGGAGGAAGAGGAAGAGGAAGAGGAAGAGGAGGAGGAGGAGGAGGAGGAAGAGCCGGCAGTGACACAGTGACTCAATGGCGATTTTGGCTCACAGAAAATACAAAAGCAAAAAATAAATATTAAAAAAAAAAAGAAGAAGAAGAAAGTAGAAATAAATAGATAATGATCACAAATCAAATCATGCATTTACATGCAAAAAATACGGAAAATTGGAGCACTTTCATTGTTGGGTGTGTTTGGAGAGAGAGAGGCCTTAACGGGGAAAGCAACAGAGCAGGTGTGTGTGTGTTTAAATGCATGTGTGTGTGTGTGTGTGTTTGTTTGAATGCATATGTGTTTGCGTGTGTGTGCGTGTGTGTGTGTGTGTTGGCCTAAGCTGTAAAAAAATAAGTTACTTATGTCATTTTAGACCATATTGCTTTGATCGAAAGAAGTCTGCTAACAGTTCGCTAATGAATACATTGTAAAATACCACTGCATATTTCTTGTTGTGTGTTCATGCTTCACTATGAATATCTGTGCCGATATAAAAGTCATTACATTTTGGTACATGTTCTGAGATATGGTATACAATATAAGCAGTAAGTTACAAGTCCTCGGTGGGTTTTTCTTTCTTTTTCTTAAATCGTGTCTCTCTGTGTTTGTGTGTGTTTGCGCGTCGAGCTCCTCGCTGCACCATCAGTCATCGACATCAATCTCCACGTCCTCGTCCTCCGAGCACTCCTTGCTCGTTGTGTGGTCTGAGAACGGAGACAGCGGCGACGTCCGCAGTTTCTGAGCGAGCTCGTGATCCTGCTGGCCTCCCCGCGCGGGGGACTCAGCGCGCGGGTGGCCCAGCGTGCCGTTTGCGCATTTCTCCAGATCCGCCAACTTGGCGAGCTTGTCCAGCGGGACCTGGCCGATGGCCTTGGCCGACTCCACGTCGGCCTTCATCTCCTCCAGGTCCCGTTTTAACTTGGCCCTCCGGTTCTGAAACCACGTGATGACCTGCGCGTTTGTCAGGCCCAGCTGCTGCGCGATCTGGTCCCGGTCGGCCGGGGACAGGTACTTCTGGTACAGGAAGCGCTTCTCCAGCTCGTAGATTTGGTGATTGGTGAACGCCGTTCGAGACTTCCGACGTTTCTTCGGGGTGCTTCTCTGGCCGAACAGAGTCATCCCGTCCCGGCCTGTGAGGGAGAGAAAGAAAGCGGATGCTGAGTGAGAATCGTTGCTTCGTGTAGGTGCAGGAATTCTTTTGCAGTGTGCGCGTGGAAGTAACCGGGACGTACAAAAATAACAATGAAAGAGATTCTGTCCAAGAAAAGACAACGTCTTATTGTCCTTGTGGGAATAGGTACTTACAAGAATATTACACAGACACCACTGGGAAATATTGAGCACCAGACACACCAGGCCATAAAATTAAAGAAAAGCAGTAGCGATTTATTTCCTTGAAGAACCGAGAATTAACACGTCTTTCTTCGATGAGATATTTCTAAAGTACATTTTAGCTCCTGCTATTAAACAAGCACATTTGAGTGTATTTTAAGACTCGGTGCAAATTACAAGATATAGCCAAACTATTTTCTGTCTGCTACAGGGCCCTAAGTAGGATTTTTAAAAAAAAATGTAACTCGATGCGTAAAATTAAAAATTGTCGAGCTCGTTGCTTGGTTTGGAGATTTACCTTCCGCAGCCTGTAAAACGCTGACTTCCAGCCCCTTGAAGGTCTTGCTGGCCAGCTCCTCCAGCGCGCAGAGCGGGGAGGTCTGGGTGAGCAGAGCCCGACTCGACAGAGGGATGCTGGACGGACGGTGCTTCTCAGAGGACGAAATTAGATGAGCCGTGCCGCAAATTGTGTAACTTCGTTTCACCGACGGTTTGTTCAGGATGTCCTCGATGCTGAAGGGGGTCAGCGGCTTGTTGGAGTTGGCAGGAGGCGGCAGGTGGTCCAGCGGACTTCGCCTCCTGTTTTCCACTGCATCACATTTGGCCACTTCTTTGGATGTCATCATTGGTTGTACGCAGAGTTTGTAAGACTTAGTTGAAATAATCGGAGGTTGGAAACGAGGAGGAAAAAGTCACATAACAGTTTGGAGATTTGGGGGACAAAAACAAAAAACAAAAAACAAAAACAAAGACAAGAATAGGGGACAAGGAAGGAAAAGGAAAATCTTATTCCAAAATGGGATGTGTTCAGAGTGTCGATCCTCGGGAGCAGCAAGTCCGCAGGAGTGAGGTGCCTCCCTGAAAATGGCGAGGTCCAAAGAGTTGACGATTACTAACAAGTTATCATTGATTGGTAGGTAATCAATTATCTCCAGTGGCACTTTCGCCCTCTTCCCTTTCACTCTTTGACTATGTTGCAGTCCAGTGCGGGGCTTTTTGCGACTGGGGGTGTCCCATTAATTAGGACGCATGGCTGGAAGGAGGAGGAGCCCAGCAGAATTATAATGCTTTGTGCTCTTATCATCTTTGGTCTAATTTAGTCGTGTGGTGAGATACCAGAATAGGTATATGGGGTAAATGAGGGGAAGCAGAGAAAGAGAGAGAGAGAGAGAGAGAGAGAGAGAGAGAGAGAGAGAAGGAGAAAAAAGAGGGAGATAGGGGTAGAGAAATCACAATCTGTAGCCAATTTATGCGTTTTTACGCGCAAAAAAAGTATAGTTAAGCTTCTGCTCTTCAATTTAAAAGTATTTGGATTATCCGGATGATTCGAAAAAGACAAGTCGACTCCTGTTACTTTAGTTGCCGCAGCTATAGTCAGAAGGATATTTTTCATCGACCCAAAGCGTGGATGATCCTTTGTTTTGTAAAGGTAATGTGGAGCTGGGCCATATATCAGCTCTGATGATACCTCCTCTGGGGCGGGAGAGAAGGAGCAGCATGCATCCCTCTCAGCAACGCCAAACTCGGGCCATAACTCAGGCGAAAGGGCTCCTTTTATATCTTCCAAGAAATATTTCATTTCCTCTCAAATCTCCCCCGCATCCTGCAGGTTTGACATGATGGCTTTATTTTGGCGCTGGCCTGACAAAGTAGTGGGCGACAGAGTGTATTTGCGTTTACTGTGCGGCAAAAAAGTCTTTTATTTGTCATTAAAATTGACATTAAAAAATGTCATTCAAAAGGAATATTTCGTTTTTCGTTTAGTGATGTTTCAGTTTTCATTTAATCGTTGGAATAATAAAGTAAAATTAACTACTAAGATAACTGTGTTGTATAAAAGGGGGATTTTTTAAAATTGATAAAATCCTAGCAAAGTATTAATATGATCGTTTCTTTTATTAACCATTTGGCGTCATTTTTTCTTGCTAATAATATAATGATAATAATATATGTAATAGTATAATAACTTGTTCATATAGCGAATGATAAATCAAGAGGCTGTAAATCAATAATCCAGTGATTATGGCTTCACGTCAATAAAAAATAAGACGTGATGATGATGATGATGATGATTGTTATTGTGATGATGATGATGATGATGATGATGAGAGAAAGACAGAACAAGGTAAATGTTGCTTTTTAAAAAAAAAAATTCAGTGTTAAAACACAAGATGATATTAGATCAGTTTGCTTTTTTTTCGTTGTTTACACAATAACGTCATTTGTAAGGTTTTTAAATGTTATTTATTTATATAGTGATGGGGAAAAAAGAAAAATAATAAATGTAAAAATATTGTGAGAAGTGCCTGCATCTGAAATTTATCATGTTATGAGTAGGAAGGAAAAAAAAAAAGGGCCAGACAGTTTATATTTGCTGCTGGTGGGGGGGTGAGATCTAATTTCAGTGGTAACTGCTCTGTGGATGTTTGGCTGAAATATAAGCAGCTACTTCTGAACACTGTGTTTTGATTCGTTTTTTATTTATTTGTAACTTCCCCAAAATGATTGTAGTTTTATTTTTAGATAATAATAATAACAATAATAATAATAATAAAAATAATAATAATAATAATTAAAAAAAACTTAAAAATCTTAAATGTTTAAGAAATATTTTGGTTTTGAAAAATTGAGAATCAGTTGGATAAAATAACAATAATAGTCACCCATGACGTCTGATGAACCAGAGTTTGATAAATTCGTCCTGTATCATAATTTGAGGGCAAATTTAGCCATGCAAAAAAAAAAAAAAAAAAATGAACTGAACTGCTAGTGCTAGCAAACAACCATTGCTTCCCAATTTACAACCTGCACATTTCTAACACAAACTGCACCAAAATTTAAATCATCATTGTTAAAAACATGTTCATTTTCTTTAGCAAACATTTCCAAAAAATATACTTTAACATACAGTAAATTGCACGCACACTGAGCCACTGTGGGAATGTGCAGTGCAATATAAAATTGAAGATGATTTTTTTTCTGTGTGTGTGTGTGTGTGTGTGTGTGTTTCAAGCCAGCCGAGCTCTGGAAGGATCCTGGTGTTCGGAGCTGCACCAGCCTGTTTATTAAAGACGGATATTTGTGGTGGTGTGTCATCATCTCTGTGTCTCGCTTGCCAAGGTCAACGACATGGTCTGCCTCTCAGCTCTCCTTTAGCCACACAACTTAATCTGTTAAGTTACTAGACTGTGCAGGGGACGTTTCCTGGCAGGGGACGGTACAAATTACGTCACTGACTGTTCTGAAAACCACTACATCCTCCTGTACCCACGTGTTCCTGCATCTTTTTTGTCATTTCGACTGCTCTTGAATGAATTCGTGTTGAATTTCTATCTGTAACGAATCCTAGAAACAAGTCAAATTTAGCATAATCCGGCAGTGTTAGTTTAATGTATTTACAAAATCCTGTAATCTGCATCCCCTTGGACATTTATGAATGCATAAAGAACACAATAGCAATGTTTCTTCCCAACCAGGTGTTGATTTAGGCTTTCCACACTGCGGTCTGTTAGCTTAAAGTGCCACCCTGCAATATGTGTTAGTGACCTCATGCAGGAGGAGACACAGCGCTCACTGCAGGCTTAGGCTGCGATTAGACAGCTGCAGGGGAAACTGTCCACATTGTAGCCATTTTGTGAGACCCCAAAGATGGGTGTCATGTCTCCCCTCTCCCAAAGGCCTGCCAGTTATCTCACATGACACCAGATATAGATACACTCAGAGAGGGGGGCTTGGATGTGTCTCTCTGTTTTAAACATGTACTGTATAAATCACACGTCATTACCAGAGGTCACTGGCTGAGGTACACCATTGGAGGGTTTCATCGTGAGGGCAGGTCTGCTTGGAGGAGAGTGGATTTATCTGGCAGTCGTATCTCTGGAGAGGCAGCCATATTTTATGTGACTAGAGATGTAATAACAGGCCTCTGACAAATCCCTGACGGCCCAGCTTCTCCTGCCTTGCAGTGCAGTGCCAGCCCCAGTGCTGCTGGAACAGCACATCATAAGTAGCACCATTATCACTGCGGGCCGCTTTGTGCAGCTCTGCAACCTGTGTTTGTCTGGGCTGAAACCTGTACATGAAGACTTTCAGAGGCCTCCCAAATCACTCCAGATTCTTAGCTAGATGGTCTTCCTTTAATGTGCCAAAATGGAGATTTTATTTTATTAATTGAATTGTATAGCATACAAACAGCATATGCAACACAGTATTGGCAAAACAGTGGCACCTGCATGCAACAAGAAATACTTTAAATTGAGAAAATGTCACTTTAAAAAGAAGAAATAAAAGCAAAGGAGGTAATGCAAATATAAAAAAATAAAAATAAGCAAGAAATATAACAAAGTACGGTTGATATTGTACGGACTCCTTTAAATGTGGAAAATAATTAGATTGCATGGGGTTATTCTATTAAGTAGGAAAACATCACACAGTAAATGTGTAAGTGATAGAAGTTGCCTTTGTTCAATACAATACAAACAGCTGTTTTGCTGCTGCAGCCTCACTTGGCTGGTAGAACCCTGCTAGAAATTTTTGGTTCTTAGAATGTTCCTAGAATGTTCACTGGAATGTTGTTGCAATGTTTTCAGCAGGATATTTTCTTTAAGTTCTGAGAATGTTGCCAAAAAACATTCAAAAAAATGTTTTGCAATAACCTTCTTAAAATGTTAAATCCATCCATCCATCATCTATACACCGCTTAATCCTCATTAGGGTCGCGGGGGGGCTGGAGCCTATCCCAGCCAACTTAGGGCGAAGGCAGGGGACACCCTGGACAGGTCACCAGTCTATCGCAGGGCCACACTTAGAGACAGACAACCAAGCACACTCACATTCACCCCTATGGACAATTTAGAATCACCAATTAACCGCAACATGTTTTTGGATTGTGTAGAACTCCGTAGAACCCAGAGAGAACCCACGCTGCACGGGGAGAATATGCAAACTCCATGCAGAAAGATCCTGGGTGTTCTCACCAGGATGCAAACTGGTGACCTTCCGAGCATTGACTGACCCGCTCTACCACCTGAGCCACACCTACTTGGGGAGCACAGAATTTAAACTGGTGTGCTTAAAATCCCCTACAACCACTATAAAGCTGTCTGGGTGTTTAGTTAAAAGTTCATTGATGGCGTGGTTGGTTTATTTCCAATATTTTAGTTAGTATCCTAAAAATTGAGTTTTAGGTTGGAAGTTCTTTCAGCTTTCAGAAGAAAACAACTATTTCCATCCACAACACAATGTTCTTCTTTAGCATTCTTCTATCAAAAACTGAAAAACCAAGTTTTGTTTCTCAGAATTGAAGGAGATGTAAAGTAGTCTTTATAACATTCTGAAAACGTTTTCCAAATGTTCCAGTAAGTCTGTTATTATTCTGTAATCTGTTACCTAAACATTGTCCCCATAATATTCTCCCAATGTTATAGGCAAAACATTCTTCCTTTATTCACATGTCGTATTACAGAAATTTTATGTAAAAAATGTTTTGTGATCTGGGGCATCGATAACATCCTGAGAACATTTTCAAAATGTTGCAGTAAGAATGATCCGCCTTTGTGATCATGTAACATTGTAAGAGCGTTTTAAAAATAGCTTAATGTAATCTGAGCCCCTTATAACATCCTTA